AGAGGTCTGTCACCCTGCAGTGTACTTAAATCAGTGATTACACACTTTAAATTTATATCATACTAGTTATTTTATACCATCAGTGCTTTAAAATTTTGATATACTTATGTTACTTATATTGCGTAGTTTTCCTTAAATCATACAGGTTTTGATAAGTGTGTTTTTTAAACTGGCTTGGAATCTTCAGCTTCAGACATAGAAGAACACAGAGTTACCTCTTTCTTCATTTGGCAATATCAGAATTGCTCATGTTGTGTAGTCTCTGTTTACACAGCCACCATGGATAGTATACTATCATTGCCTGGCTTTTACAGTGTGATTATAGCTCTTTTATTTTGAATACTTAAGGGATTCAGTGATTGTAGTCCAAGAAACTTTTTATACAACAACTTCATACCTCTCTAGTAGAAACACTGCTGTAATTTGTATTATCAGTATAACTAAGTAATAAAACCTAGTACACATAGTTTGTCAGGCTACAAATACATACAACTTTACTATTTCCAGTTCTCCTATAATGTGGTTAAGGCAATTTCACATGTTTTTAAACCAAACTTAGTCCAAGATTATGTATAAAGGAATTGTAGTTTATGTGTCCTAAGTATCTGTCACATATTAACTCATTTAATACTTAATAATTCTATGACATAAGTACTATTATTTCATCTATTTTATGGACAAGCAAACTGAGGCCAAAAGATGTTAAGTAACTGCCCGAGATCTGTAGCTGAGCCTTCCTCATCCTGGTTTATACCACACATCCTTTTCCATTGCTGTATTTCGTGAAGCATGGGATTCGGGCAGTCCAATGGCTGCTAGATTTCAAGCCATGCATGCTGGTTCCTCAGTTCGACACTTCCCAACAAAGCTGTCATCTCCCCCATTCAACACATTTCTTACTTTGTCAGAGTACTAGAAAGACCTTTCCTCAACACAGAACATGTTTAGAAACTATTTTTATATCTTTTATTAAAAGTTTATTTTAGTAAAATTGGATATTCTTTTAAAAATTGTTTTTCTTGAACTCATCTGTTAACGCTGAAGTGTAGGACTAACCCATCAGAAAATAGTGGCTTCCTGAAGGTCTTTCCAGGCATCAGCACTTGTTCCCTGGTGTGAGTGGTTTATCCTGGAACCGTGTTCCTCCCACACAGTAACATGGGACATGTCTGCATCTGACTCACTTCATCTCTCCGCCAAGATGCTGGAGAAAATTCTGAGCATTGCCAGTAAGAATCACAGAGAGAAGACACTTAAAATCCTCTCACTTGTCAATACAGGAGTTTCGAATGGTTTTATAAACTGAGTCTGTCCTAAGTCTTTAGAATTATAAGAGCTAAATCCTCCTAATTTACATGGATTAAGAGATTATCCCTTGCAGTGAGTCGCCAGGTGACAGCAGCCAAACTCTAGAATTAGTGTGTGATCCTGTGAAATGAAGCCTTTTCTATTTTTGGATGTAGGGCCAGGGATTTATCTCAGTGGTTTTGCCACCTGCCGCACAAGCGCAAGGACCCGAATTCAATCCCAGGTACCAAAAAAATAAAAAGAAATCTGTTTTTGGCTGTATCTTGACATAATCTTGTTTTACATTTTTCAACATTTTAATATTTTAGCTTTAAATTTCACTAGTTTAATAAAGTTCTACGGAAGGTTCCCTTCTCAATGTTCTGTATTTCTTTCATTGGTTAAGTACCTTGTGTACATTTGTCACCAGTGAGGTTTTTTTTTTTTTTGGTACCGGGGATCGAACTCGGGTCCTTGCGCTTTCGCAGCAGGCGGCGAAACCACTGAGCTAAATCCCCAGCCCTCACCAGTGAATTTTTATCACACGTATTTAATGTATAAATTTATATCAATACACAGGCATATCTTTGGCACATGGTTTATAAAGAATGGATGTCAGTTTGATTACAGAACATATTTTTTAAAAGATTACCTCAGGATTTTTTAGTTTTAAAATAGGATTCAAAGGCATACTTTGCATATAAAACAGAGCAAAGGGGAAAACATGATATAAAAATGATGAAGATTCTTCTCTATAAGCAAAGAATTCCAAACAGATGCATTTACATTTCAGTAATTTTTTCATAAGGTCATCTACATAATACATGAGGGATATGACCATTTTATGTTCATCTGATTTGAAATGATTATGGTTATGAATTATTATGATTATTCCTAATCCTTTTTTTCTGTTGTCGGCATAGCTCTGAGCCAGTGTGAGTGGTGATTCCAGGATTTAATTTTGAACAATGACATACTTAATTCATTCTGTGAAAAACTATAGTTTATGAAGACTTCATTATTAAGTCTGTTTCTATCTCTAAGGCTATCAGGCATTCTTTCTTTTTTTTTTTTTTTTGGTACCAGGGGGATCGAACTCAGG